TTGCTCAACTATAAGTTGATCGCTACTTCTACATTTCCTCTTCCCTGTGTTTTCCAAGAACTTATTTTTAAATTTGTTCATTGGATACGCCAGCATTTATTGCCCATCCTGAATTGCACGTTGGGCTGTTAAGAGTCAACCACACAGCTGTGGGTCTGGAGTTACATGTAAGCCAGACCAGGTATGGACAGCAGATTTCCTTCCCTAAAGGCCATTAGTGGATCAGATTGTTGTTTTAAAAAAAAAACAATCGACAGTCACTGTTAGGCTAGCGCTTTACTCCAGACATTTATGAAGTCCAAATGTCACCATTTGCCATGGTAGAATTCAAACCTGTTTGGCCAGAACATTAACCTGGGGGGTGGTGGTTCTGGGTTACCAATCCAGGTACATTATCACTTGGAGATATATCACCCATTCCTTCACTGTCACTGGGTCTAAATCCTGGAATTCCCACTCTAAATGGCAATGTGGGTCAACCCACAGCAGGTGGACTGCAGTGGTTCAAGAAGCAGCTCACCACCATCTTCTCAAGGGCATCCAGGGACAAACAATAAATGCTGGCCAACCAGCAATGCCCACATCCCATTAATGAATTTTTAAGAAAAACAACATCCACTGCCTCTTCGTCAACTCTTTCTGCCCCAGCTGCTAACTCAATTCCATTCACCTCCTTCTGCATAGTGATCAATTTATTTTACAAATGTGTTCATCTTCATGGATGTCAGCCCTGGTTCAATGCCTCAGGCAGGAGCTTGAGAGTTCATGTCCACTCCAGAGATGTTCCAGTGTAGTACTGGGGGACTGCTGCCTTTCAGATAAGACCTTAAACTCAGGCCTGCTGTACTGTCTCAAGTAGATGTAAAAGATCTCTTGACCATGAATCCATTGTCAATTGTCAGAAAAACCCATCTGGTTCACTAATGTCCTTTAGGGAAGGAAACTGCCATCCCTACCTGGTCTGGCCTACATGTGACTCCAGATCCACAGCAATGGTTGACTCTTAAGCACTCTCTGGGCAATTAGGAATGGGCAATGAATGCTGGCCTAGTCAGCGATGACCTTTTTCCATGAATGAATAAAGAAAAAGAAAGGCACTACTTTGAGCAGAAAGGGCAATCCTTAAAGTTGCGATTCGGCAGAACTACAGCATTGTATTTCAATTTGATAAAGACAGCTTCTTTACAGACATCACATCACAGGTAGATTGTTTAACTTACCGAACAAGTCTGTTTGCAATTGCAGCACCCCAACCTCCTTTATCAAAGGACTGCTAAGAAGCAATAAGAGTACAATGCACAATTAACTAACCAAAAAATGTAGGTTTTGCTGCAAATTTCTCCATCAATCCCAGTCCATAATGTAGCTAACTCAGGTGACACAATAGCTTTAAGTCAGATTTTCTTCTCTTCCTCCAGCCCGCCAACATGGTGAAACGAGAATGCCACATGCTATGGAGTGGATTGTTACATCACAAGTAATTGCTGAAATTGCCACTTTATGGAATTAATGCTGAGGCTTTAACTCATAGCTTTATAATAACAAACTCTATTCCTGCCTAAGAAAAGCCATCAAACATTCAAAACAGTCAGGTGTTTAGAAATTCCTGCTTCCAGCAAGGGTGTTCAGCATTTCCAAAAATTCCAATAGAAAGAATCTTATGGACTCTTGTGATATGTCCATTCAGTGCTCTGGGTCTATTCAGTGAATGTATGAAACACATTGTTCAGTATGATATCAAACCTGTAAACCAGCCCATTTGTCCCAGAATGGAATGAGCTTTTTAAAGGAAGCGATGACTTGGGCATGTATCTTACCTTGACTTTTGACACAGCTCCCAATAAGGAAGCCATTACTCTGTTTACTTTAGTTGTTTCCCTTGTTATAGTCCTTATCACTGTTCTCTTAAGACCAAAGGATCCAGATTTGAATATATATGATAAATAGCTACTTTAACGATTCACCACCAGATCGGTTTGGACCATATTAACATACGACTGAGTCCCGCTCGTATCTGCTAAAACTGTCTTCTGTTCCAGGATCTCCTTCTTGCTTCTTTACTACAAATAATCATATGAAAAACCTCTTCCTGCCCCCTCCACAATCACCTCCAACATTATGTGCATGGATTGTTCTTTCACTAAGATAGAGTCTATCCAAGCAACAGAGTCTGATTATTACTTCAGCTAGTTCCATTATCTCACTATGCCAAAATTCCTCTGAAGTTCCCCGCTGCCCTAAGCCTGAAATCTCATTTTTCTCTCCTATCTCCATCATGTCCTCTCTGAGCTCCATTCCCTGTTCACTCAACACTATTCCTGATCAACCACACAACTTCTCATCTTGGCTCTATGTTAGCTGATATTATTCGCTGTCCTCTCTCTCATCAGGTACTGCATCTTTTTTCCGTTAAATCTACCATTATCAAAGAAAGAGCCCCTCCCCTTATGATCCCTGGTCTTCACAAACCTTTGTTTCCAACCCTTATGTCCTCTCCGAAGTCCTCAAACATGACGTTGCTTACCATCTTACTCAGTATTCCGTTTGAACTCTGAATAGACAACTCACCCTGCCACAGTCACCAAAAGTGCTCTTAACATTCATAAAAATTCCTACGTCTGTCTGCAAATGAACTGTCCCTCTTTTTCTGTTTTCATCTGTTTGCAAGCTTTTCTGAGCGGGCAGAGGCTTTGGAAGTCTAAAGCAGAAAGGGATTTAGCAGCCCTAGTAAAGGATTCTGTGAAAGTTAACATGCAGGTTCATGGCAGTTAGGAAGGGAAATGTAACGTTAGCATTAATTTCGAAAGGGCTAGAATACAAGAGCAAGGACTGTATGTACTGCTGCGGCTGTAAAAGGCTCTAGTCAGACCGTAATTCATAGAATCCCTACAGTACGGATAGAGGCCATTTGGCCCATCAAATCTGCACCGACCCTTCGAAGAGCATCCCAACAAACCCACTCTATCCCTGTAACCCTGACATTTACATCTCAAACTCTCAACCAGTTCAGCCACAAACCGGTATTATTGAACCATTGAGTGTCCTTCCTACAGCTCAGAGCCCAGGCTCTCTCCTACCTGAGTGATGGAGTCTCCGAATAAGATCACTTTGGGCCACAGGTGCCTTCGGCCCGACATGGCCGGGTCCCGGTCTGGCGCTCGGCCGCTCTCCTTCCCCCGGAAAACTCTCCCCGCTGCCTACAGGGCCGGGCTGCATTGTTGCTCTCCCCTCATTGAACTCTGCAATGCAGACTCCCCACCTCCCTCAGCCACTGCTTCTCATCGAGACCTTCTAAAACCACTCCTGGCTTCTGAACTACTTTGTGTTTATACTAAGACCCTCATCACGACACAAAAATCACTGTTTTTGTCATATTCGGTACAATACTAAAACAGTACTTCACAAAGGAATAAAGTTTAATATTTCTTAAATTTTCAGAGCGAGTACAGGAGTAATTTGAGATTGAGTGTAAAATGCTTGGGGTGGACAAATGACTCTACCATAGGTGTTTCCCTTGCACAATATCTGGATCTACAACAGAATAATCAATTCCTCTGATTAATTAACAACGTGTGACTTCTACCAGGACGTGAGAAACAGAAAGGGCCGTAATTTTTCTTCTATAAATTCATGTTTCTGTATTTTCTATTTGCAACGAATAATGGAACAACTGAAAGTTAAGATCAAATAAGATTTCCAGCTATTGCATGTTGTGAAGCTTTAATTTAATGAAAGAAAACAAGGATGGCAACGAGCACTATTACCATAATTTTTTTGTTCTGCATTAAAAAAAATAGCACGACAAGAAAATGTAAAATCTTTATTTTAATAAAAACTGCAGTAATTTTTTGCACTCAACAGACACATTACTTATCTGATAAGATTATGACATTTATTATTTACCATCTTGCCAACCAAGACAGACAGCAAAGAGCATGTTTTTTCAGGAACACAATAATTCTTTCTGTCAAACTGTTAGATATACTCACGTATTTGTTTAAGTTTGTTGAAGGTTATCACAAAATTCGTATTTTCAGTATTTTCCCACTGCAAAACGTACACTTTTCTGACTTTGAATTTCAATGACAATGAATATAGTTTCATCAAAATCCAAATTCATCATCATCACCACGACTGCAGGGTTCCACCTTTGAGAATGATTAGGACTAGGCAATAAATACAGGCCTTGCAAGTGAGGCACACATGCCATGAATGAATAAAAAACTAAATTAGATCATTTGTAGAATTTACTTATATGTTTAACAGAACAAAAACAGGATGTCATTAAAACACTACTTCCTACAATCTGAAAATAATACAACTGGACTACTCTTCACATTTATTACTGTTTTTCACAATTTCAGAAGAGTGCTGGGTGCATTGTTTCATAAAGCCGCTGTACTGCCACTTCTACCATTTCTCGAAGTGGTTCATCCTCCACACTACCCTCTTCGCACACAACCACCTACGGGAAAATAAACAAACAAAATTAGCAAAATTTTGAACAAGATACACATGAACAGTGCGGAGCTGGATGAACACAGCAGGCCAGGCAGCATCAGCGGAGCAGGAAAGTTGATGTTTTGGGTCTGAAGAAGGGTCCCGACCTGAAATATCAACTTTCCCGCTCCTCTGATGCTGCCTGGCCTGCTGTGTTCCTCCAGCTCCACACTGTGTTATCTCTGACTCCAGCATCTGCAGTTCTTGCCACCTCACACATAAACAGTGACTGAAGACCAAGTTTGACGGTATTAGGCAAGAACGTTCAAAAGTTGATTGGGGTCGGATGTTTGCAGGTAAAGGAATGGCTGGAAAATGGGAAGCCTCCAAAAATGAGATAATGAGAATCCAGGGACTGTATGTTCCTGTTAGGGTGAAGGGAAGGGCAAGGCTGGTAGATGTAGGGAATGCTGGATGACCAGAAAAATTGAGGTTTTGATCAAGAAAAAGGTAGCATATGTCAGGTATAGACAGCAGGGATCGAGTGAATTCCTAGAAGAGTATAAAGGTAGTAGGAGTATACTTAAGAAGAAATCAGGAGGGCAAAAGGGGACACGAAATACCTTTGGCAAATAGGGTTAAGGAGAATCCAAAGGGATTCTACAAATACATTAAGGACAAAATGGTAAATAGGGAAAGAATAGGGTCCCTTAAAGATCAGCAAGGCTGCCTATGTGTGGAACTGTAGGAGATGGGTGAGATTCTAAATGAGTAGTTTGCATCAGTATTTACTGTGGAGAAGGATATAGAAGATACAGAACATGGGGAAGTAAATAGTGACATATTGAAAAATGTCTATATTACAGAGGAGGTAGTGCTGGACATCTTAAAATGCATGATAGTGGATAAATCCCTGGGACCTGATCAGGTGTACCTGAGAACTCTGTGGGAGGATAGTGAAGTGATTGCTGGGCCCCTTGCTGAGATATTTCTATCATCAACAGCCACAGGTGAGGTGCCGGAAGACTGGAGGTTGGCTAACATGGTGCCACTATTTAAGAAAGGTGGTAAGGGAAAGCCAGGGAACTACAGACTGGTGAGCCTGACATTGGTGGTGGGCAAGTTGTTGGAGGGAATCCTGGGGTACAGGATTTACACATACTTGGAAAGGCAAGGACTGATTATGGGTTGGTCAACATGGCTTTGTGCGTGGGAAATCGTGTCTCACTAATTGATTGAGCTTTTGAAGAAGTAACGAAAAGGATTGATGAGAGCAGAGCAGTGGACATGATCTATATGGAACAAAAACAAAGTTGCTGGAAAAGCCCAGCAGGTCTGGCAGCATCTGTGAAGGAAAAAACAGAGTTAACATATTGGGTCCGGTGACCTTTCCTCAGAACGATCTATAGTAAGGCGTTCAACAATGTTCCTTGTTGTAGACTGTTAGCAAGGTTAGATCACATAGAATAATGGGAGAACTAGCTATTTGGATACAGAACTGGCTCAAAGGTAGAAGACAGAGGGTGGTGGTTGAGGATTGCTTTTCAGACTGGAGGCCTGTGAGCAGCAGTGTGCCACAAGGATCGATGCCGAGTCCACTGCTTTTTGTCTATTATATAAATGATTTTGATGTGAACAAGGGAGGTATGGTTCGTAAGTTTGCAGATGACACCAAAATTGGGAGTGTAGCGGACAGCAAAGAAGGTTACCTCAGAGTACAATGGGATCTTGATTAGATCGGCTAATGGGCCGAGGAGTGGCAGATGGAGATTAACTTAGATAAATGTGAGGTGCTGCATTTTGGAAAGGCAAATCAGGGCAGGACTTATGCACTTAATGGTAAGGTCCTGGGGAGTGCTGCTGAACAAAGAAACCTTGGAGTTCAGGTTCATAGTTCCTTGAACGTAGAGTCATGGGTAGATAGGATAGTGAAAAAGGCATTTAGTATGCTTGCCTTTATTGTTCAGTGCATTGAGTTTAGGAGTTGGGAGGCAATTCTGGTCTCCCTCCTAATAGGAAGGATGTTGTGAAACTTGAAAGGGTTCACAAAAGATTTACGAGGATGTTGCCAGGGTTGGAGGGTTTGAGCTACAGGGAGAGGCTGAATAGGCAGGGGCTATTTTCCCTGGAGCATCAGAGGCTGAGGGGTGACCTTATAGAGGTTTATAAAATCATGAGAGGCATGGATTGGGTAAATAGACAAAGTCTTTTCCCCGGGGTGGGGAGTTCAAAACTAGAGGGCATAGGTTTACGGTGAGAGGAGAAAGATAAGAGGGATCTAAGGGGCAACTTTTCACATAGAGGGTGATGTGTGTATGGCATGAGCTGCCAGAGAGAGTGGAGGAGGCTGGTACAATTACAACATTGAAAAGGCATCTGGATGCGTACATGAACAGCAAGGTTTTAGAGGGATATGGACTAAATGCTGGCAAATAGGACTAGATTTATGTAGGATATCCAGTCAACATGGACATGTTGGACTGAAGGGTTTGTTTCTGTGCTGTATATCTCTATGACTTTATGATACTACATAACTAGAGTGAAACAATTACGAGGTCTATCACTGCACAGTCAAAACATGTTTTGTCAACAGTCTTTGCATGCTTTGTTTAAGTTAGCTTGTAACAAACTCATTATATTTTGTTAGCTAAAGAAACCTGCCTGACTTGTTTTTATTACTAAACCAGCTACAATCTGAGACCCATATAACTGGCCACATCATCACGTTTAAATTTGAAATTTATTGTGACCGCTGGAGTAGAAGAGTGGGGCTAGAAAGAAATCAGTGTACCCCTGCAATCTCAACTGGAACAATCTTGGAACTCTCAAAAGAACTTTAGTATAAAGGCAGATCAAAGCAAGAAATAAAATAAGAACGTTTTAAAAGACACAATTGACTGAAGTGGTTTAACATGAGGCCCCTTTGCACAGCATCCTCGTGAAGTCACCTTAGAGACCATTCGAGGTTAAAGTTTGAATCAATATACTGAAGTGTGAGTTTCTCTGTGCAGATATTATCAAGTCTGTCTGTATAAAGGTCTACAGTCACTGGAAGTGTGTTCACAGGTATAGAATGTATGGAAAAGACTAATGATAGCTTAAATTGTCGCATAAATCTAAACCAGTATTCTCGTTAGAAACAAAAGTGCTAAAATATTCATCTTCAGTAACAAAACAAATAGTAACAAAACTCCAGATAAGCAAGTAAAGAAGGATATTTCTGTGTCTCACAAAGGAATTTTAATTCCCAAATAGGCACAATGCAAAGTAACATCCCTGCCACATAAGTGCCAGGCAAATAACTATCTCCATCAAGAGACCATCACTCTTTAACATTTAATAACATCATCGTCACTGAATACTCCACCTTCAAAATCTTGGAAATTACCAAAGAACAGAAACTGAAAAGGACCAGCCACATAAATACAGTGGTTGCAAGGCCATGTGCCCCACCTGACTCCCCAAAGCCTGTCCACCATCTAAAAGGCACAAGTTAGGAGTCTGATGGAGTAGTTTACACTGGCCTGGCCAGCTCCAACAACTCAGGAGGACAAGGCTCTGGTTTGATTGATACCCAATACACCATGTGAAAACATTCACTCCATCCACACTGGCATACAGTGTTAGCAGCATGTTCCATCCACAAGATGCATTGCAGTAAATCATCAAGACTCCTTTGCTCACATGAAGCAATCTTGTAACCTCTACCATCTAGAAGGACAACAGCAGCAAATGCATGGAGACACCACCACTTCAAATTCCTTACTATACTAAACACAATCCTGACATGTTCAAAATCCTGGAACAGGATCAAGCTGCCATGGAAGTGGTATGGGTGGGTACAATTACAACATTTTAAAGACATTTAGACAGATCCATGGATAGGAAAAGTTTAGAGGGATATGGGCCAAATGCAGGCAAATGGGCCTCAGTTTAGGAATCTTAGTCAGCGTAGACAAGTTGGGCCGAAGGGCCTGTTTCTGTGTTGAGTGACTCTGTGACTTCCCAAACAACACTATGGATGTCCCTACACCACATGAACTGTAATGGTTCAGGAAGGTAGCTCATTCCCACATTCTCAAGGACATTTTAGGTTTGGACATTGCTGGCCTAGCCAGTGATAATCACAACCTGTTAAAGAAATAAAATTTTCACATGCAATTCATTCTGGCGCAATTTACTGAAGTCATTCATCACTGCAGTCTGTTCAGCTCCTTCAGTTACTCCTTTAAACAAGGAAAATGCATCACCTCACATTTGTCTGGATTAAACTCCATCTGATTTATATCCTGCTGTATCCTCTGACAATCCTCCTCAGTATCTGCAACTCCACCAATCTTTGTATCATCTGCAAATTTACTAATTAGACCAGCAACATTTTCCCCCAAATCATATATATCGATCATGAACAGCAGAGGTCCCAGCACTGATCCCTGTGGAACATCACTGGTCACAATCCTCCATTCCGGAAAGCATCCTTCCACCGCTACCTTCCGTCTCCTAAGACTAAGCCAGTTCTGTATCCATCTTGCCAGCTCATCCCTGATATCATGTGACTTCACCTTTTGCACCAGCCTGCCATGAGGCACTTTGTCAAAGGCTTCACTGAAGTCTGTGCAGACAACATCAGCCGCTTTGCCCTCATCAATCATCTTCGCCACCTCCTCAAAAACATGCCAAGGACCATACTCAGGAGGGAACAGCAGGGTAGGGCAAGAGTGTCATAACATGAAGCAGCATAAGAGTTCGTCCTATCTTGCACATCAGCAATTGCCTGACCTGGTCACAAAAGTGGTGAATACTTGCCCGTGTATCCAGAGAAATATTTGCTGCCTTGCCATCAACGGTTACAGACAGTGTATTGCTAGTTTTAGATTTAGTCACACATTCTTGTCCAAACATATCTCTGCAAGGGGAAAAATAATTTTGTTGTTAAACTGTGTTTTCAGAAGGACTGAAAAGACAGAGGTATCACAATTGGCAATCCTGCACTCAATGTTCTCATTGGCAATCCTGTTCTCAATCCTATTTGCACTGCAACATCTGTCACAAAAATACAGTACAAGATTGAATTCAGCAACAATATTCTTCCCAATTGGAAAAGGTCAATATTACTTGCGATTTCTTGCGTATTATTGCTGTGCACAAATATAAAGGGAAGATTATATTTTTCAGAAAGGTGAACATAATAATACAGGAAACACTTGTAGCTGCGGCAAACACAAATCTTCATTGTTGGAAGGAAAGGGATTTGGGGTTGGGAAGATGGGGTCAATAAAAAATACTTTGCCCAGTATGGAACAGAACTGTCCTCACAGTTGCATTATTTTGGATGTCCAGAGTAAGAATAAGAATGGAAGAATTCCATGCTGCTCGGTAGCTTACTGACATAATTTAGTCCATGAAAACATGTTGTCTGGATAGATTCCTTTTGGGGATGCCTGCCAATGGCTCTGAAGTTGATTTTTCACAGAAGCTGCAAAATATGCACTCGAAAATAAGCTCCTTTGTAATATAATAAAACAAAGAACTGTAGATGTTAAAGAGCTGAAACAATCAAATTGCTGGATAATCTCAGCAGGTCATCCATGCATCATTAGAGAGAAAGCAGAGTGAATGTTTCAAGTCCAGTGATCCTTCTTCAGAACGCATATATGAAGAAGGGTCACTGGACTCGAACCATTAACTCTGCTTTCTCTCTACTGATGCTGCCAAACCTGCTGAGATTCTCCATCAATTTCTGCCTTTTTAACACAATCTGACCAGTGACCATGTTCTGTCAAAGCTGTGTGGCCATTAACCAGGAGGTTTGTGTGTAGGCTAAGCACAAGTTGGGGCTTCTTTAAATTACCGTGTGCCAAGTTTTGCAAACAATTTAAAGGGCCTGCACACTAAAATGAACAGTCCACATACAATAAAAATGATCAGAGCAATGTTGCCACTGAGTGCTTTATATTAAAAGCATGCAAGCATAATAATCATTTAAAAATTGTACACAGCTGTAATCACAGTAAAAAGCACTGTGTGTGTGTGTGTGTGTGTGTGTGTGTGTGTGTGTGTGTGGGGAATAAAGTGGCAGGGTGCAATAATAAAGGAGGAAATAAGTATAAGAATTATCTACAGGCAGTTTTAATTTTATGCTGAAATCTATTTTGGATCATTTCCAATCTAAATTTTAAGATTCATGTGCCAGTTCATTTAAATTAGCAGTTAAATCATTACATCCACAAGCTTCTACTATCTTGACAGGTTTGTGTGAGGTTCTGCTTATTTTGACCCAGAAGATTTAGACCTAGCCAATTATTCACTGAACAAATTTGACTTCAACCAGCCTTTCAGAGAGAGGCAACGGGCAATTACTTATCCAAAACCAGAGAATTCTGAGGCCAAGTCACCTGCAGACAGTCTTACACAACTCTTAGTGATGGTTTTCAGAGCCTATGGAACAATACATCTGTTTCTGGGGTTAGGGAACACACACACACAAATATGTCGACAAAAAACATGTATCAACAAGGTTTCATATATGTCAGTTACAAGGGCCAACTAAATTAGGAATTTTGTTTACTCACTAGAATTCAAACAAATGAAGCAACTTACTCGAGCATAATCTCTAGCCTCTTTGCATACATTTCTTTGTCAAATTTTTTGCTTGAGTTTTGCTGCACAACTAGAGAAAAAAGAAACATTTTACTATCAATATATTTATTAGATAAAACAACACTTAAAAAGCTGAGGGGTACATCAGTGATACTAAATAGGAACTGATGACCTATTTTTGGTTTATATGGCACAAAGCGAGTTCTACTGTAATTGTTATGACACGGAGACAGATAGCTGAACTATCTGTATTTGCAATATAGTAAAATGAAAACCTTGAAGAATCTCAATAGTTACTCAAATGGTTCCGAACCAGTCTTTTGAATAACTAATTCCAGATTTTGTGAATAATTAATTTCAGACACCGGTTTTATATCTTACACAAACTAGTTAACAATTTACTAAAGATACAATAATTTTAGCACAGCAAAAAAAGGAGGTAATCGAATTAATGCCTAGGCATTAAACCAGAAATATTTGTTTTCACCCTCCCATTCACACAAAAGACAGACAAACAAACAAACATAGCCAAGACTTAAATAAAAGAAAACAACAAATGTGCCAGATTACTCAAATGGTTTTCATGGTGTATTGTTTCAAAGGTTTAGATGTGGACTCATCGCTTGCTTTTCAAGAGATGTCAATCAGGGTCACCTTTTCAGTTCACTCAGGTAAAGGTCGTAATACTTCTAACTCAGCTTTCTACTCTTTAAGCTTCCAAAAGCTGTTAAGGGAGGTTAGGCAGGGAACTTTTAAATCTTCACGCTGTATGATCAGCAGCCAATCCTTCCTCCTCAGAAAATAGAGTTTAGAAAAAACAACTTCAACTATGGTCCCACCCTGATAGACTGACCATCTTTTCAAGATTACCATTCAAGATCTGCCATCTGCTTGAGTAGTAGGCCTCTTCTAGACTTGCTGGAACCAACTCCAGGTACTGACCTCATTAATAGCCCACTTTTGCTATCTGTTTAAACGCAATGCCCTTCTCCCAGACTCACTATGTCTGCAGAAACCTTTGTAATCAAGAATCAGCCTATGATTAATCTCCAAACCTAGCCTCACAAACAAATAAAAGATTGCTTGTTTTGTTCTTTTCCTTTTACCACCAGCTGTTTCCCAAAGTCCACAAGTCATCTTCAGCTCACAATTTTCAGTTCACAGCTCCAAGCCAAAATTGATTTTAAAAAAATTAAAGAAAAATTAGCGAGAGCTCTAACACAATAAATAAATATCCACTATACAGGTTTTAAAACTATAACTAAATTCTGAAACAGAAAACAAGTCATCAAAAATATGTTTTCTTTTCTGAAGAAGGGTCTAGGCCCGAACCATCAGCTTTCCTGCTCCTCTGATGTTGCTTGGCCTGCTGTGTTCATCCAGCTCTACACCTTGTTATATCAAAAATATGTACTTCGATTCATTCAGTAACGTGAGGCAGAAATGATTCCATTCTGCAGAATAAATTAACTGGCTGAGAATTGCTGAGTTCAACAGAATAATCAATTTATTTTTTCTGTTGCATACCTTAGAATGCAGATGCCAGACTGTTTTGTTTGTTATAGTGCCTGCCTAAAATAGCAATACTATTAGTGGATTCCTTATCATAAACAGAACACAGTAAAGCCTCACAGTTGTCAATGCAACAAAACACCACAGTTCCATTCTTGGCTGGGGGAGAAAAGAAAGGTCTACATTAGTAATAAAATACTGAGACCCAAAGGTTTCAAGATTTAACTTCTGAGCCTGTTCTGAGATAGATAATTTCTACTAGGTCAGCTGTTTCTAGTCCCTCAACAGATCTTGATTACTCGAAACAAACAGAAAAATCTATTAGGTTTCCTGACTGCCAGCCTGTTGAAATGTGTGCAGTGACGATAGGATCATGTTCAGATTGCTAAGTCCTTTAATGGTTGCATAATCATTAAGAAGAATGAGCAGGAAAGGTACTGGAGGCTTACCAGCTTCCAGGAACTCTCACTCCAAAACAGGTGATACTTTCAGCTGAGATGGAACAAAATTGGTTTGAAAAAGCAAGATCATACACGAAGAAGCAAAAATGGAAGCAATGCAAGTGCACCCACCTTTCTGTGCTTTAGGGTTTGACTGCACTTCCAGAATCACTGTCATCACTGCATCTGCATACATGTCATTTAATGGATTTGCCACCCACTAAGGAGAAATAAAGGTTTTATTCTAAAATAGCAAATTCAGTTTGTTTAATCATGTGATAGTTTGCTAATTTGATCTCAGTCACAAATTATTGAATGGAGTGTAAAATATATGCAGTTACATAAAAAGACAAGAATGTTACTCAAAGTTATTAGAAATAAACATGAACTAAAAATTGCAGTCATCAGAAAACCCCAATAAATATGACAGTAACGACAGTGACTGCAAGATGGCTACTGATGAGGGGCCAATATTGACAAGTAGTTAAATTGAGAATACTGATCTATAAATCAGTAAAATTTCAATAAGAGAGAAATGTACTGTCAAAGTGCTTTGATTTGGAATAGGTATTAAAATTCAGATCCTCTCCACCTGCTTAGGTGAATGTAAAAGATCCAACTTAATGATCTAATAAAGAACATGGCAGTTCTTTTATCCTGCGATCAACACCATCGAAATAAATCAACTGATCATTTATCTGAAAGTTGTTTGCAGAAATTTGCTTTGTGCAATTCTACTGCCACATTCAATTTCACAGCAATAGTGACTACACTTCCAAACTAATTCACTAATTGTAGAGTGCTTTGGCATATTGCAATGATACGAACACGCCTCCACACATTTGAGATCTTTTTTCTTCCGTGGGTAATCAGTAACTCACTTGACCATACCTCATGAGTCAGCCTTGGCTCCACTAATAGTGCTGTATCCTCACAAGATTCTGGTTTCAGGTCCCGACAGGTCTTGAGCTCAAAAATCAAGGCTAACACTTCAGTACAGTGCTGAGAGAGCGTTGCACTTTTGGAAGGTGCTGTCGTCTGGAAGGTATGTTAGACTGAGGCTCTGTCTGACATTTCAAGTGGATGCCAAAGATCCCATGGTACTAATTCAAGAATAAGGGAATTTCACATCCATTCCCTCCCCCCACCAACCCCACCAGTATCCTGGTCAATATTTATCCCTCAATCAATGCCACCAGGAAGAGATTATCTGGGTTGTAGGGAATTTACTGTGAGCATTGGCTGTCATTTTCCCTACAGTGAATACACCTCAAAAGTTTTTCAATGGCTGTAAATATAAATGCAAGTTTGTCTTTCTTTCTTATATAAACAAAGGAGAAAAATATTCGAAAGAGAACACAGTAAACTCACCTCCAGCACAACCATGCCTGGTTCTTGAACCAGTGTGATAGCTTTGAAGACTCTCAGTGCTGGCTTTTCCTGAACTTCGATTTCTTCCACATCATCTCAAGGGTAAAACATTGTTCAATTAGAATGCTTATCATTTTTATTTCAAAAGCAATGATTAGAAATTAAGAACTGATTTTGAATGCTTAAAATGTTTAAAATTCTAAGATACTGCATAGTTTCTGTACATCTGATTTGCTCAACACATTTTATCAAGATATGATAACACAAGAGTGATATCTGACAGGAACACCAGTCTTTGAAACAAATGCTCTCCACTGACTGAGTAAGCAAAATGCACTGCATGGGTGTAGCAGTGAGGTATATGGAACAGCATATTACATTTGGATCCCATATCTGTGTTGAGATAACAACTAAGGAGGTCAGAAATGTACGAGCAACTGACCATAGTAATTCTAATTTGAGAAGCAAAAATAAAGTAACCGCTGTTGGGAAAATGTCTGGTTCACCAGTGCAACAAACATTGAGGATTGAAAATGCCCAACTTTACCAACAAGTTGAAGTAAAGGGTTCACATTCTTCAGCACAGAGCTATCAGCAGATTGTGAATAAAGCTGAACCAAAGGAAATGAGCTGCGTGCAACTCCATACAACCCAGACCAATGTCCACAAATTCAGGACACAGTTGAAAACAAGAAATTAGCTATCTCAAAACTCCAGTATATTGCAAAGAAGCACATACTATTTTTTCCACAGAGCAGGTATCTGCCACAATGGAAATTCATCAGCTTAAAGCTCCCCCAAGATGATGTTAAGGGCAACTTCCGGAGTTAGCTGGGAAGATGTCTCCAGAAAGGAAATTGGGGCAATGAAGGGTCATCCAGATAAGGTGACGGACCAACCACCTGGGTTAGCAGAACATCTTCTACAAAGGACATCCAATAGACAGAAGGTCCTCCAGCGGACAGACAGTTTACCAACCATGCAGGGTCAAGAACAGTCCTTAAAGCAAAGACTGGACAATCATCCAAGTCTGAAGAGAAGGTGTTCTAGATCACCTGAATTTGTGATGTCGAGAGACTTGGGCAATGGGGTAGTGGTAAATGTGCACAAGTGTTAACTACAGGGGTGGGGAAAAACTTTGGGAAGCTGTTGCATTAGGTAATGGTTCTGTAAAGGTTAACGCTGAAGATTACATAATCCTCTACCAAATTGGTTTCTCCTTGCTAAAACTCAATAGTGGCTAATCCTCTACTACTTTAGACCAATTAGGCTGTTAGACCCAGTCAAAGGCAAGAGAATCAGTGGCATCCTTCTGCACACAAACATCATACTTTAAATTCTCAAGGCCCTTAATCTATGGAATTTTCTTCCTCAGAGAGCAGCAGAAACTGGGTAATTGACACACTCAAAGTCAAGATTGACTTCTGATTGACAAAGAAGTCAAAGATTATTAGGACAGGGACAGCAGGTAGGGAAGTGGAAACCACATTAAGACCAGCCATGACTTAATGAAAGGTACAGCAGGTTTGAGGGGGCCAAATGGCCTCCACTTGCTCCCAATTCTTGTTTTCTTTTGCACTCACTGTCTAGACTCAAGTGAAAAATAGTCAACATTGCAAAGTAAGGCATGATGGACAAATGGCCAGTGGTTAGTAGCTTCATGGAAGGGGAGGGAACAAAAGAAAGCAGAATTATATACAAACCTGCAATGATCTGAAGGTGTTGTGCCAGGAGCATGAAAGATCCTGAGTACTGAATGGCCTGTGTCTGTGTCACCGTGCTCATTGCCAAATCAGTATAATCTGATAAAAAGGGAAATATGGTAGTTTATACTTTTAAGTTTGCATACTTTAAACATTAGTTTCTGAAATACAGAGGAATCAACTACATAAAACTACAAACAGTTTGTTCCTAGGTTCATATTCACTTTAGAGTTTCAAATAAATATACATCTAACCATTCCACTAGCTCAAAGTAGCGCTGTCCCCAGTATTCTTCCTCTCCCCTCTGCTGCCCTCTCCCCATGATTTCCTTTCACATTGTTCTTCAATGCAACCTCCAGTGTGAACAGGACTGCCCACACAGCATTTCATTAGGGCATTGAATCTGTAACACTAAGAATAAAGTTAAATGATGTTTTTTTCAGATCAGTGAGAGGTGGATAATGTGCAAGAAGGATCCAAATTCTGATCCCTCCTTAACTTTTTAAATATTTGTTTGTAGGATGTAGGTGACACTGGCAACCCCTAGATGCCCTGATCATTGTAGGCCAGACTAAGTTTCCCTTTTCCGAAGGACATCAGCAAATCAACATTATGCATTCCAACCGTGGGAACAGTTTCTTTCAATTCATGTTGTCTAGAGCCCTCATGGTTTTAAGAATCTCTATCAAATAACACTCTAAGACATTGGAGCAGAAATAGGCCATTCACCCTGTAGAGTCTGTTCCATCTTTCAATGAGATTATGGCTGATCTCATAATTCTCAACTCCACATTTCTGCCTTTTCCCTTTAAGCTTTGATTGCCTTACTGGTTACAAATCAGTCTATCTCAGCCTTGAAAGCCCCTTGCTGTAAAGAATTCCACAGATTCACAACCCTTAGAAAATATTTCTCCTCGTTTCTGTCTTAAATGTGCAGCCTTTTATTCTGAGATTATGTCCTCTCGTGCTAGACTCTTCCACAAGGGGGAAACATCTTTCTGCACCTAGCCTCTCAAGTCCCCTAAGGAAATCTCCTCTCAAAGGAGGGCATCCTAGCTTCTTCAATCTATTCATACAATCCTTTATCTCTAGAACCATTGTTTTAAGTATTTTCTGCATACTATCAAAAGCTTTCATAGCTTTCCAGTATAAATTGGTAAACAGGGAAAAATATTTACATACTGGATAGGTCAGATGGAATAAGTATGTGATAGTTGAAGTTTCTTTTTACAAGTATTCCTGAGATCCTTTGACCTTGATCTGCCTTTTTATCTGCCAAGGAGCCCATCACCTGTCAAAAATATTAAAACTATTAAGATGAAAATGTGATTTTTTTTAACCTTAACCTGATTTAAACACTTGGAAAGATGCAACTCTCTCTAAACATCTGCGTTTCCATCTAAATGTCAGTCAACTACTAAATACTCTGAACTTCAACCAATATAGAACAGAATAAATTTGTAAGGGATGATGGGAGAGAAATCTGGAATGATTTACCAAAGTAAACAGAAATTATAAAAGTGCAGAAACTCAAAAGCAAATACACCACCAAATTATAGTCAAGTTTTGCCTTTTTTGGAATGATTTTCCTTTTCCTGGTGCGACCTCTTCAAGAAATATTTCTCAGAGCAAGCAGTTTCTAATTATCAACAAATGCAAATATGTTCATTTTTTATCAGATATGTTTAAGTTTTACAGCTTGCATTGGCATGCCTTTCAAAAAGACTCTTTACAGCTAAAAATGTTCTAACCCTTTAATAGCTTAGTATAAATATGTAGCCAGATAAACCTTTCCATTGAGTTAAACATAGAATTGAGACAAAAAAAGATTGTGTGCTCTCTTTGTTAATTAGAAAAGATTGTTTTGTGCTGTTCATTTATTCTGGCTTTGTTAACTCTATGAGCAATGACCTTTTACAAATTAAATGCAAAATAAAAATGTGATTGCGATGGAAATTAATGAATCTACAAATGAAAACTTTTTACGCACTAAATTCCATAAGGAACAGAAGCATTGAATTATGAGAAATGTGTCATTCAAGAAGTTACAAAGCAGCAACAAAAGTGTAAAAAATAAAAACTACAGTAGTTATTCTTTTAGTATCTGCAATACAATTTGAGAGTTCACTATGCCTACAGAAACAAGACTAGGTGGTCACAAGTGTGTGCATCATGCAAAACACATGACCACACTGGTACAGTGCTGTTCCAAATGTCTGAGAATTAGCACGCATGGTCAATTTCACTCAATATTACACATGTAATTAGAAATCACTCAGCCAGCATTTACAGGTGGAAGGAACGATTACAGGACTGCAGAAGATAATATAGTCATTTGAAATTCTGACATGGAACACTTATCCACTATGAGATTAACCAAATAGTTTTGGGTCTGTGAATTAACAACCTTACACTAAAATCTTCAAATTCAATTTATGTACTTGCTAACATGTCAAATTCTCAGTATAACAAAAGGAGAATAGGATAATTAAATGTTTCAGCTGACAGAAGTGTTTATGTAATTAGCTCTGGATTTGATATTTACTCCTGAATCCACCTTGATAAACTTATACTGCAGGCAGCAGAGCCATGCAGAACAGGAACGCCCCAGATTCCACGTTGGTTATGCTGAAATTACCCTTGTACCATTTAAACAAATAGGAGAGTTGTCTAATAACAAATTGGAAAGTCAATACCTGTAAATGACAAGAGGAAATTGGTAGGAAAATTAAAACACACAAAAAACAAAAACTTTATATCAGTGCCACTGGAAAGATGTTGTTCCCATTAGAAAAAAAGTGAAATCCTACTTTGGCCAGCTTTTCGCCTCTGAAGTATAATGTCACAGCTTCAGTGTTGCGTGGATTGTGAACTTCAATATGAACTTCATCGTTATCTTCATATTCTCGGATAAGCGCTGCCTTCAGCCTGGCCATTTCGTTCTGTTCACCATGGACAAGCAACTACAAAGAAGTCCCAGATGACTATAAGTAAATTGCAATCAATGCACAGCACTTTACAATATTAAACAAATCTCTCAATCCTTACAAAATTAAATCACAATATTCATCTCAAGTATTCAGGAAAAAAAGTAAGAAAGCATAGGGTGTAATTCCAACGTGGTTAGATTCCCCATTTGGTCATCCTTTAGGAAAAAGGGAGCAGAAAAAGAATACTTGGCTCAAGTGTAGAGAACCAGCCATGATATCTAATCCCAAACATCATCCAGTGATCTATACTGGGAAAAGCACATGTAGATGTTATCTGGTGTCTGCTGACTGCTGCTTCCGATTAAGTTCTGGGCTAACAGATGAAGTCTGGCCAACTTGATGATAGTATCATTGCCCTAATTTGTGGACGTGCACTCTAACAGGAGTCAGAAACTTAGAGGGACAAAGAAAGGAAAAGAAGAAATATTTGAGGGTGGGCGGTGGATGGTGTAGAAGATCTGGAAAATATAAATTAAATATTTTAACAGTTCTGTACTAACCACATGTGGTGGTTTCAATGCACGGATAAATTCACTGGTCTGCTGATAATCTGTATGTGCAGAGAACGAGATGTAATCAACTGACATCTTCAATGGTAATTTCTGTCCAGACATGGTAGTTACCTCCTCAGGCTCTGACATAATATGCTGCAATTTAGGAAACAGAATATAAACATTGATAGTACAACATCAGCCTTGTCCAGTAGTTACTAAAAAAGCACAAACTTTACACTACTTATGAAACAGAAAAAAAGAATTCAGTGCCTGCTGTGTTTCTTAACTATGGTAAGTATATATTTCTACAACTCCTTTTAAAATACAAAGTCACTTCTTCTGTGTAAGAATCAAACAAAAATAATTCCTTTACCCTTGTCAAATCTTATTCATCACTGCTATTTGTTTCACTCAAGATTATTTTAATAAACACTTCAAAAAAAGCCAACATAATTTTTTAGTTAGGTGTTTGGGGAAAAAAGAAGGATCTCCTTATAAAGAAAGATTGAGCAGGTTAGCCCTCCCCCACTGAAGTTTAGAAGAACGAGAGAAAATCTAATTGAAACACACAAGATTTTGTGTAGACTGAATAGGCTGGACACCCCAGGAAATTTCTTCTTGTGGGGAAGAATAAAATGAGGGGACATAGTTTAAGTGTGTCTCCCTTTTTTGACAGATGAAGAGCAAGGGGTGGTTAAAAATTTCTTTCCCAGAAGGTATTGGAAGCTGGTCCTTTAGAATTATTCAAGGCTGAACTAGATTTCTGATAGACAAGGGAGACAGGGAATATTATGGTGCGGTCAAGAAAGTGGAGCTGAGATCACAACTAGATCAGCCATGATCTTAATGAATGGCACAGCAGGCATGAAGGGCAAAGAGGTCCTTCTTCTGGTCCCAAATCCTATATTCCTATGGATAATCTTCTGAGGGATTGTGAATCATTGTGGACTTCCAAGTCCATCTATGTAAACATGTAGATATCACTCCTTGTTTGTGCATCAAACCATCCAGCAGCAAGCGTGGCCCCAAAATGTCATTTCAGCACCAAGGTCACAAACATGAAAGGACTGGGCTCGTTGGCTGATAACTTGTATTTGAGGCTGTGGTAATATTTCTCTATGGCTCAGCAACTCAAGCCAAGTCTAAATCAATTTCCCTTCTGTAGCAGAAATATTTAGTCTTCACTTCGGAGTGCAATCATTGCCAATGCTGGAAACTTGATGTGAAGTTAACTTTGGAGGTTGGCTAGTTTCTAACTATAGTTATGTAGATGCGCAGAAAGCACCAAAACAAATAGAAAATGCTGAAAATCTGGAATAAAAATAAAGTGCTGGAAATACTTAGCAGCTCTAGCAGCGTCTGTGTACAGAGAAACAGAGTTGACAGTTTTTCAGGGAGGCGGTGATGTAATGGCACACTGGACTTTTATTCCAGAACATCAGGATAATGTTCTGGGACAAGGTTTTGAACCCCATCATGGTGAATGGTGACATCTGAATTCAATAAACAAAAAAAAAATTTTGGAATATAAAGCTAGCCTAATGGCAACCACTGTCGATTGTCATAAAACCTCATCTGTTCATTAATGTTCTTGACAGAAGGAAATCTGCTATCTTTACCTGGTCGTCTCCAGACCCACAGTAATGTGGCTGACTGTTAGCCTCCCTTGTGCCAGTTAGAGATGGGCAATAAATGCGGGCCTAGCCAATGATGCTCATATCCCATGAACAAATAAAAAGACTTCTTCAGAACTCCGTTTCTCTCTTCACATTCATTCAAATATAAATAAATATCACAGAACACTTTGAAGACTGTTTCTTTATCACTAAAACATGTGATTAAATTGGTCAGTAACATTATTAGTGAACACTAATTGTTCAAGATCCAAATCATTAAAATAAGGGCTAAAATACACATTAATTCAACAAAAATCAAATAGAAGAGCTTGAAAAGGTTTATGTTATCTGATTACATACCTTTGCAAGTGTGCCTTCAACACAGTAACCAGCAATAATGACACCATTCCTCTTATCGGTGCACCAGCTTTCAAACAGTTCTCGGGACAAACCACTCTGCATCATACCCGGAGAAGCCATCACTACACTTGGACCAATGTCATCAAAATGGTCCATGCTCTTTAAAAAGAACACAGAAAAAAAAACTCTGAGCAATAATAATGATCACTTTTTAATAATCTCTAACTGGCTTATCATAAAAAGGTTTTTAAAACTGTAAAGTGACACTTGCATTAATTAGACTGAAAATATTTTACATAATTATATCAAAACAGATGTCACTGAATTAATTTCATTTCTATTTCCCTCACCAGCTACTATATTGCCTCTCACTAAGATTACTTATTTGGTGCCAACTCATATCATACTATAGGTGATTTGTGACATTCATTTAGATGTACTCAGTAATTTCTTGTATTTGGGTGCATCTTGAAACAATCAAGATGGATTGAACTGTTTTGAAACCAATACCTCCAAATTTAAATGTTCATTCTTTATATGCAAGGTACCACATTTCAATTTATTTCACTCAGGGGCCAAATGAGCAAATTTCAGAATGATTTGTTCTGTAAGGATTAGAAAAGCAGTATAGTAAGTCTTCCAGCATATCTGCCTTGCATTCAAACTCCACCCCCTTGCAGACAGCTAACCTATCACAAGCTGCAGCGTTCCCTGACTGCTGCTGTTCCCCATACTGGCAGCCATACCCTCTCAGCCTTGCCCTAATAGTGGCTGCTGTTCCCTCACAGCCTCTCCTCCTACCCATTCCTATACATCCACTGCCATTATTCTGGTCCTCCGTAAATTCCAGCCGGTTATCACTGCTTACTTTCCTACTACTGGCTTCTCTTTGAATCCCCAACCATTTCCCTAGTGAGCCTACTGGCACAAATATCAGTGAGAAAGAGCCTGTGATTGGATGAGCAGCTCTTTACATTCGCACTTTTTTGTATTTGAGTGCATTTTGAACACCACAGTGATAAACCCTTGGTGGGCAGGTATCAGGGCTCATGGGCTCTATGTTGGGACAACCCTGTTACCAAAAGATTATATCCCATAGTCTCTATTAACTTTCTTATGAAAATACCACAGTGTACAATTTTTTAAGAAGTCTTGCTGCACAAAATACCCCACATACACTAGTTGAATTCGGGTGGCAATATACGACTTACCTTTAAGTTGCTGATGTGTTTGAAGACAAAAGGGTTGTTAATACTGATCTGTTTGCGAATTTTCTCATTCATTGCGTTGACATAGGTTTGGTATACAGCCATACATTTTTTTGCCAGGGATGAGGCATAGTAGATAGGGATGTCATGTAGCTCTGGATGGTTCTGCCAATATTCATCTGCATATAAAAGTAAAACTCCAAGCAATAAGTTTTTAACCTCATGGCTTCGGATGACATTGCCAAACTGGATGAGAAGGACAGATCTTCAAAGAACCCGAAAGAAAATAGTGTGGGAGCAGGAAGAGAAACCATTGCTAGAAGTTCTTTGATTATGACTGGATGAATGAGAATGGAACTAAGTGAGATCTGTTCCAAAGCATAACAGACGAGGTGTGGAAAATGATTTTGTGACAATTATGAGAAACACTGCAGAGAGGTCAAGGAGAAAAAGGAAAAAAGAATGAATGATAGTCAATTAAATATGTGTCATTTGTCACTTTAATTAGGGACTACGCCACTGTCTTAAGAAAACTCAATTAAGATCATCTTAGTAGGAAACTGAGAGTAGCACCCTATTCCAACACTGAATCTTGCACAACTCAGTTTAGCATCACAAAGTTTTGCTAGGTATGCCTAGTTGGAATTTTGCCATGACATCTGTATCCTTTCAAACTCCAGTCAATGTTTTAAACCACTACTGTAAGATAGACTTGAAAAAAAAATTGACCAAATAATTATCTAATGGAGAGAAACTTCAGAATGCTTCAGGGCAGAGGGATCTGCGAGTCCTCATGGATGAATCATAAAAAACTAATTTGCAGATACAGCAGAAACTAAGGAAGGTGTGGAAAGGATTTTTCTTCGTGGGGGAATCTAGAACGAGAGGTTATAGTTTGAAGATAAGGGCTAGCAGCTTTAAAAACAGAAAGAAGGAGAAATTACTTCTCTCAAAGAGTCTTGAATTTGTGGCATTTATTATCTCAGACTGTGGTGGATGCTGGGACATTGAGTAAATTTGAAGAGATAGACAGAATTTTAATTAGTAACAAGTTGAGGGGTTATGGAGAGTTGGCAGGAAAGAAGTTGAGGCCAAGATGAGATCTACCAATGATCACATTGAATGGTAGAGGAGGGTAAAGGGGCTGAATTGTCTACTCGTGCTCCTAGTTCTTATGTAACCCAACTTTCCCAGTGATATCCAAGTATTTTACACACACAACTTTTGTTTCAGGGTTTTTCCCCTTGATTACTTAGTAAATGCACAAGCAGACATTATTTAGTCAGCTAGGGTGGCCGATTTCTAGTAATGTTGAGGCTGGTTGGCTCGCCGAGCTGGTTTGTTGTTCCGCAGACGTTTCGTTACTGTGCTTGGTAACATCCGCAGTGCAGCCTCTGATGAAGCATCGGTGTGTTTTCCCGCCTGGTTTTTACGAGCGAGGTGGACAATGGGGACCCAGTGGATGTGGTGTACCTAGACTTCCAAAAGGCCTTTGACAAGGTGCCGCACAAGAGGCTACTGCATAAGATAAGGATGCATGGCATTAAGGGTAAAGTATTAGCATGGATAGCGGATTGGTTGACTAACAGGAAGCAAAGAGTGGGGATAAATGAGTGCTATTCTAGCTGGCAGTCAGTGACTAGTGGTGTGCCTCAGGGATTGGTGTTGGGACCGCAATTATTTACAATTTATATAGATGACTTGGAGCTGGGGACCACGTGTAGGGTGTCAAAGTTTGCAGATGACACTAAGATGAGTGGCAAAGCAAAGTGTGCAGAGGACTGTGAAACTTTGCAGAGGAACATAGATACATTGAGTGAGTGGGCAAAGGTCTGGCAGATGGAATACAATGTAAATAAATGTGAAGTCATACATTTTGGTAGGAGTAATAGTAAAAAGGATTATTACTTGAATGGTAAAAAGTTGCAGCATGCTGCTATGCAGAGGGACCTGGGTGTCCTTGTGCATGAATCACAGAAGGTAGGTCTGCAGGTACAACAAGTAATTAGGAAGGCAAATGGAATTTTGTCCTTCATTGCTAAAGGGATTGAAATAAAAAGCAGAGAGGTTATGTTGCAGCTGTACAAGGTGCTGGTGAGGCCACACCTAGAGTACTGTGTGCAGTTTTGGTCTCCTTACTTGAGAAAGGATGTACTGGTACTGGAGGGGGTGCAAAGGAGGTTCACTAGGTTGATTCCGGACTTGAGGGGGTTGGCTTATGAGGAGAGACTGAGTAGATTGGGATTATATTCATTGGAATTCAGAAGATTGAGGGGGGATCTTATAGAAACATATAAAATTATGAAGGGAATAGGTAAGATAGAAGTAGAGAGGATGTTTCCACTAGTGGGTGAAGTTAGGACAAGAGGGCATAGCCTCAAGATTAGAGGGAGCAGATTTAGGACTGAACTGAGAAGGAATTTCTTCACCCAGAGGGTTGTTAATCTATGGAATTCCTTGCCCAGTGAAGTAGTTGATGCTACTTCAGCAAAGGCTTTTAAAAAAAAGGTAGATTTTTTTTGAACAATAAAGGAATTAAGGGATACGGTGAGAATGCGGGTAAGTGGATCTGAGTCCACGAAAGGATCAGCCATGATCTTATTGAATGGCGGAGCAGGCTCGAAGGGCCAGACGGCCTACTCCTGCTCCTAGTTCTTGTGTTCTTGTGTAAACTCTGGGATCCGTTGCGATGGATTGCCTCACTTCTGGGTTTCCTCCGTAGTGGAATGTATATGGGGTCGAGTTCAATGTGTTTATTAATAGCATGCTTCGTGGATTGCCATGCTTCCAGGAATTCTCGTGCTTGTCTCTGCCTAGCCTGTACCAGGATCTTGTGTTGTCCCAGTCGAAGTCGTGGTTCTTCTTGTCCATGTGGATTGAGATGAGTGAGTATTGGTCATGTCTTTTTGTAGCCAGTTGGTGTTCATGTACTCTTGGTGTTAGTTTCCTTCCTGTTTGTCCAATGTAGTGTTTCTCGCAGTCTCTGCAGGGGATCTTGTAGATGACATTGGTCCTGTCCATGGCGGGGAGTGGGTCTTTAATTCGGGTGAGCACTTGGGGTACGGTTGATGTGGGCTTGTGTGCCACTCTGATGCCCAGCGGTCGTAGAAGTCTTGTGGTGAGTTCTGACGTGTTCCTGATGTAGGGTAGTGTGATGAGTGTGTCAGGGCATGTAGAATCTTTCTGATGCTGTTCCTGTAGGCATCTCCTGACCCAGTTCTTTGGATATCCATTATCC